GATATGGGCTCAGTGGTTGAGTACTACTGAGTTTAATCCCTGATACCAAAAAAAAAAAATAATGTTGGGAATGTTGTTCAGTGATAAAGCATTCATGGGTTCAATCCCCCCTACCCCCTGGAACAGTTTCAGCATGTTGTAAGTGCTCATATGAACCAGCCCATGTTGTTATTAGCATTGTTGCTTTCATGATTTTTTATTCTCTGTGGTCAGGACTTTGGTATCCTCTTCTCTGTCCCTGCATAGTTGTTTGGACATTAGGTCTTTTTGGTGGTTATTTTCATTTGCTTAAAATCAATTCCTCCTGAGCCAGGTTGCCCATTCACCATGGATCTGCATGGGAAGAAGAAAGAAAGAAGCTCTATGTAGTGGGGTGGGGATGTCTCTGGGGGATGTGAAGAGATGGAGTGAGTCTGGCTCTGCTGAATACATATAATCAATAGGTGAAATCGATGTGTTCATAAAAGTTACAGGCCCTTGCTGGGTGAGCTGTTTTCTACAATGCCAAGGAATGCATCTATTTCATTCTTCTCTTCTTGGGCCCAGATATATTCCCATAGCATCCCCAAAGCCTGGGAGTGGAAAGATTACTGTCATTACCTCATTGTTTGCACCCTCAATCAAAGGAGTATTCAGGGGTTAAAATCTCTGAATTAAACCTCAGAGCTTCTTTGCTTCTAAGAAGGAAAGAAACTACATACACTGAGCTTGGAGCGTTCATTGATTCAGTTAGTATTTATTGTGCACCTACTATGCACCAGACGCTTTTTTAAAAGCACCATGGATTCAGTACCAAGTGAGATAGATCCATTCCTAGTCCCTGCCTATGTGCCACCAAGTGTCTGGCAGGAGATTGACATTAAGCAACTCTGCAGCTGTGGTGAGGGCCTTGAACCTGTGGGGATCAAGGGAATCTTTTCTGGGGACTTGGAGTAAAGCTATGGCCTAAGGGGGGAGTGGAGGCTGGCCAGGAGAAGGGTGGGCACAGAGAACATCCAGACCCTAAGGAGCCCCACAGGAAGGGCTCTGTGGTGCAAGGGTGGTGATCAGAGAAGGAGGGATAGGACTGGGTGGGGACATAGGGGTCTGGAGACCTCTGAGCTTAGCAGGAGGCACATGGTGTCAAGGTGAAGTGCCAGATCTTTGTCCTGAGAGCACAGGAAGAACAATAAGTAAAGATAAATGGTCACATTCACATAGAGAAGGACCACTCTGTCTCCTGTGTGGAGAAAGAATGACATATGGTGATCTGAGAGAAGGAGACCCCAGTCAGGGGCTCGCTGGCATACAGGTGAGAAGGGGCGGGTGGAGAGGCTCTTAGGGTTCAGCAGTGAGGGAGGATAAGGGGAACTGGAAATAGTGTAAATAAAATAAGACTTGATCAATGGGGGAGCCATTAAAGGTGAACTGAGGTCAAAGTGACCCTAGGGTTTGAGGGTGGTTGTTGTCTTCCTGAAGTAGGGTCGGAAGAAGGGAGCAGGTCTGGCCAGGAGAGGCAGCTCAAGCATTCCATTTTAGACACATCAACTTCAGGTATTAGAGACAGTGAAATGGAGATGCCAGGTAGCAGACTGACACTTGAGTTTGCAGCTAAAAATAAATCCAGGTTGATAAGAATTATAGTCACCCTTTTAATCTGATGCAGCCCAGAGGGTGGTTCTAATTCTAGCTGGGATAGTGTTGTGAGGGGGTGTTACACCTAGAACTTTCCATCGCTAGACCATCTTTCTCTGTGGCTGTGACCTTCATGATTTAGCCTTTCTGTGCTCCCCTTTCCTCCACATAAAGCAGTGATGGCTATGTCTGCTTCAGTCTCGCCGGGAGCACATGTTTGAGGATCCATTAAACTGAAAATAAAACATGTGGGGCACTTTGGAAATAAGAACTATGTTAAAACAAGGAGTTATTATAGTTGTGCATAAGCCAATGAAAAGCAGAAATATAGCCCCAAGGCTCAGTATCGATCTTGGTCCCGGGTGCTTCTCGCAGCCGAATAAATCTGACATTCCTCCCCAGGAGTGCAGGTGGAGCGGATGGCAGGTCTCCAGCTTCCAGCCTCTCTACCCTACTCCAAGGTTATGTCCTTTCTTGGCTCAGGCGGGCTCTAGCACCCCCATCCCTCCCTGGGCTGTGCTGGCTGCCCTTCTGACTCATGCTGGTTACGGGGAAGATTCCAGTTGTGAGGTTGGAAGGTGGCCAAGCGTAGATGCCCTCCCATCAAACTGGGGACAGGTTCCCCCCCTGAAAAAAGAGATCGACATTGTAGAACAAGGGATTTCAGGCATCCAAAGGAGATGCTGTCGACAGAGTTTTTGAAATTTAGGATGCATTAGGGGTTATGGGATTTGCTTAATTCATTCATTCAATCACTGACTAAGTATTTATTGAGTGCCCACTGAATGTTGGGCTGTGAGGTAAGCCGGGGGATACAGGAGCAAAACAGACAATACATTTGTTCTCTTGGAATTAAGATTGCATTGAGGAAGAGATGATAAACACGCTTGGTGTGTTGGCAGAAACACGAGGAAGAATGTGCCCAGAACCTAGGGCACAAAGGGCAGGGACAAAGGATTGTATAGTGCAGGGCTTTGTCAGTCATGGGAAGGAGTTTGGGTTTTTGTTTTGTTGTTATGGCAAGTCATTGAAAGCTTTTATGATTCCAGTGATTGCTAATTCTGTTACAAAAATATTGCTCTCACTTATGAGTAGGATAACTGGCTGTAGAGGAAAGAAAAAAAATCAAGAAAATTAGTAAGGAAGTTACTGTGGTCCTTTGGGTGAAAAGTGATGGTCAAGTGGACTGGGTGGTACCCACAGAGTTGGCATGAAGTAGATGCATTCAAGGGCACTTGCAAGTGGAACAAACCAGCTTGCTGAGGCACAGGAAGTGCAGGGTAAGGAAATGGAGAAACTGAAGATGATACACAGGCATCTGGCTTAAGCAGACACGTGGATGGATACCTTTACTGCAGAGTACAGGTTTGGAGGGAAAGTCTGTCATACCCAGGGGTCATCTGGAAGAGATGTCCAGTATGAAGCTGGATGCATAGTGGAAGTCCTGAGAATACTTGCAGGCTGGGATTGCACCTGTGTATTCTCAGGGGTGGACTGGACAGATGTGAGAACCTAGGGAAGGACTCAGATGGTGATAGCACAAGGTCTCATTCTGCACCCTAAAAAGCCCTGGTATAGATGCAGGAATGACCAATGGGGAGAGGAAAGCCAGGAGGGACAGCACTACAGGAGCCCACAGAAATTGCTCAAAGGCCCCCTAGGGGAGGCTTGGAGGTGACTGCTGAAATGACAAGTCTATTCAGTTAGCGAAGCTGACAGGCCGATTGGAGCGGGTTGAGGAACGAGTTGGAGGTGAGGAAGCAAAAATGACATCCAAGGATGACTCTTTGGAGAAGTTTGCTGTCAAACTGGACAGAGCAATGAGAAAGTGCTGATTGCCTGGGTTTCTATAAACAGAAGAAACATTCTTTGTATCATTTCCAAGCCTCTTTCCCGACTCTGATACACTCAGGTCATGACATTGAATACCTAAAACATTTCCATGATAAAATACACACAACCAAATTATGGCAGCACGACTCACAACTGGCTGTACCCCAGTTGTTGGCTGAGAGCGTGGTTCAGCTTGCTGGGGTGCTCATTCATCAGATATTGTTTCAGTGCTGCTATGTGCTAGGGGCTTATGTCCTGGACACTGGGAGCAGCTGTGGGCAAGATTACTGTCCTCATGGGGAGGACAGACACAGAATAAGAGACTTCCAGTGTAGTGCGCTTGCAGCTAGAGCAATATTATATTCTCAAGAACAGTATCACCAGGGTCCTTGCTTGGTCTACAAGCTAGCAAGTCTCAGAAAAACTGAGGACAAATAAGTGGAGGGGTACATTAATGAGTTGGGGTAGACATTGGTCCAGACAGAGGTTAAGGCCAGCCTGTCCCAAAAGTCAGGGCTGGAGGAGGAGTGGGGTGAGAGGTAGGTGAGAGGCAGTGGGGTGGACAGGGGTAATGAGGTGGACAGGGGTCAGATGTTCAGGGACTAGGGCTGCAGCCAGGACTTTGGCCTTTCTCAGGAGAGTATCATGAAGTGTTCTGAGTTTGTGTTGTGGGGGTGTGTGACAGTGTGGCCAGACTTTTTCTAAAAGAACACTTGGTGTCTGTCTGGAGAATGGGTCTGTAGTACAGAGAAGGTGGCAGGTAGAAGGTGTTAAGTCCTCCCAACCTTATTTAATCAAATACGAATGAATATTTGGGAAGGGGTCAGGGGTGGGGGGCAGAGTAGTTTTCTGCTTGTCTCTGTCCCAAAGCCTCATCCAGTTCTCTTTCCCTTTCACCCCCATCTGGGAAAACCCAACAGGCTAGTGCTGGGGCCAGTTCTCAAGGGGTGGGGACAGAATCAACACTGAGGGATACCATGGGGTTAATGCAGGGACAAGAATGTAGAAATGATAGAAGGCTTCCACTGGGGACTAACAGCTGTGGGCCCCCAGGGAGCATAGAATGCAGAGATGTAGTAGGTGCATAACTTTGGACAAGCAGAGCAGAAATTCACTCAAACTCTGTGGTGCATAAAAAGCATCAGAGAGCCTGTTAAAAAATGCAGACTCTTGGAGACCCTCCTAAGGAATGCTGATTCAACACATTGGTTCAACACATAGCTAGCAATCCTATTTTAAAGAAACTCTCTCCAGTCTTCATCAAGATGATTCTGAGCTGAGTGATCCGACGACCTCTCTTCTGAGAATGCCTCAGCGCTGGAATCTTCTTGGCTTTCTATCCTCAGGTCCCTCGACTATCTTGCACCATCCGGGGCCCCGATAGCTGGTGTCTGCCCTGCATTGAGATGTGAATAACCCACATTCCCGGCTCTGGAGTCCTGACTGCCCAGCGGGCCGCACGGCAGCACATAGCCGCCAGGGGGCGCCAGAGGCCTCAGCTCCCGCTCTCCAGCTTCTCCGCCCGCGGACGCCGCGCCCGAGCCGGCGAGCGAGCCAAGCCAGAGCGCTGCGGGCTCACAAAGCGGCCGGACGCGCGGCGGCGGCGGCTGGTGGCAGGAGCGTCGGGAAGCCAGCCAGAGATAAGCTTTCTCTGCGACCGCGCCAAGGAGCTCGAGCAACTCGGACGCGGGGACCCGGGCCGGCCCCCCAAGGTACGTGCCCCGCCGAACCCAGCTCCCCAACTTGGCGCAGTTGGGACCTTCCTTGCCCACCCGGAGGGATGGCAGGGTCAGGGCCTGGGGGTATCTCCGCACGCCCCTCTTGCATCCGAAACCGCAGGGCTGGCGAAGCTTTCCTTTCCCTTAGCTAGGGACTCGAGACCCCAGTTGCGGGCATCCACCCCCGCTTCCAATTTTGCCCAGAGCCTGCGCTGCTGCTGGAAACCTTGCTCACCCTCTCTATGCCTCAAAGCTGTGGGCACCGTCTGTGCGAGTGCGGCTTGCGGATCCCGGGCTCCGGGTTTTTGAGGAGGGGTACCCACTCCCCTGACCTGAGAGCAGTATTCTGTGGGGCACCCAGAGAACAGGTGAGAGGGGTCCTCTGTAGTTTGCTAGCTGCACCTAATTTGTGCCCCAGCCTCTGCATTTGTAGCCGAGTCCCCATGCGTGAGACAGGTCCCAAGGTCTCTAGCTCCGCGGAAGCGCCCCAGGTGTGCTAGGGACGACCCGGTCCCCGCTGTGAGGTCTCCACCTCTACGGCTGGGGCCGGTTTCCGAAGCGCTCAGACGCGGGGTCCCCGGCGAGAGGCTCACGGTCGCCCTAGGGGCTCAAGGGTCGGTCGTGCCCCTGCTCCGCAGATGCCAGCGATCGCGGTGCTCGCGGCGGCCGCCGCGGCGTGGTGCTTCCTCCAAGTCGAGAGCCGGCACCTGGACGCTTTCGCCCGAGGCGCGGGCCTCGATAACGGCAATTTCCTGGACAATGACCAGTGGCTGAGCACCGTCTCTCAGTATGACCGGGACAAATACTGGAACCGCTTCCGAGACGTGAGTACGGCTGCTGCTAGATCCTGCGGGGCAGGGGAGGGGTCTCTTGGAGAGGAGGGCTCTGGGGCCTGGTGGGAAGGTTGTCAGGTGCAGACCTCCCACGGAGGGCGTCAGTGGGTGCGTCTTGCCTGAGAGGAACTTTAAAGGGAACTTTGAAGGCTTGATGCTCTTGCCCGTTACCTGTTGTTCAGGTGTATGTATTTGTAGGACTGAGGCAGGTGATTGCAGTGATATACAGCACAAACCCAAGCAACTGTGGAGAGACAGACTCCCTAAGCTTCTGAATTCTCCCGATGGCAATGACTGACTTTGCCAAGCCCAAGGGAGAAGCTTCCTGGGGCGGCAGTGATTTGGACCATTTTTGGGGTGTATTAGAAAATTTTTTACTGGAGAGGTTAGGCTTGGGGATGAGCCCAGATCATTTATTACGGAACCAGTTATGGATGGTATGAGAGGAGGTCATGGTGGAGGGCTGCCCTGACAATGGGCCTGATAAAATATTGGGAAGGACCATGGAGGTTTTGACCCTTTGAATCTTTAGGGAAGGGGGAAAGAGAGCAGGTGGCCCATGGAATTGGCCCAAATCCCTGAAGGAGAAGCCTGGGAAGGAAGAAACTCACTCCTGGACTCAGAAGCACCTGTGCTACCTGTTTCTGCCCCAGGGTTGGCTGCCACTTTCCAGGTGTGCCCCAGAAGATGTGGGAGCAAGAGGCACCAGTTCAGTCTTTCAGCAGATGGCATCCCTTCTGTGTAGTGGGAGCCTCTGCCAGCTCCTTCAAAGACTGCCCCAGGTGGCTGGGGCCATGCTCTTCAAGGGGACTTGGAAGTGTGATATTTTATGGTACTTAACATTAGAAGGTTTTGTCTCTCCTATATATGCCTTAAATATTGTAAAATGTCCAATACTTAACAACAAAAAGAAGATTTTTATGTTCAAATGCATTGTTTTGTTTCTGGAGCAGTTTTAGGTTCAATTAATATTTTTGCTAAATTAATGTTAAACTAATATTTTTAGCAGCATGCATGTGTTTTTAAATAGTTTGACCATACCACATAGCCCCCCATTTTGTCATAGGCATGTTTATAGGTTCTTCAAGGTGGGAGATAAGTGGAGGTCTTTTACTCATCTCCACTGGATTCCTCATAGTCCCATTTCCAGTATCCCTTGCAGGGAGAAGGTATAGAGAATTGAATGAATGCCAGATGTTTGTTTCCTTGTGCTTTCTAAAGAGCATCCTCTTCAGGTCCCATTTTAGAGCAGCAGATGGACTCATAGCCTTGAGTGGGGTTTGAGTATCTCTCTATTCCCCATTCTTTCTTTTTCCCATAGTTGATGATGGGCTGCTTCTCCTAGAAAGGGACCTTTGAGCACTTTCATTGAACTTCCACAGTTATTTGGGGCCCTACTTTTGTAGCAGATATACTCCCTGCAGTCCTCTCCCACCCCACCACATGTTCTGACTTGCTCTGTTAACCATCCTTGGTCCCCTTTTCTGCTCAGATCCGAGGAGCCCTGTACTGACTATCTTTGCCTATGACTGAAAAAGATGCCCAAACCATGAAGCTTTTGTTTATTGACTCACCCAGGGTAGAAATAATTTTGCTTGGTGCTTTTGGTTTGTTTTACCAGTTTTAGATAGTTGGGAAGGGCAGATGCTAAACTCTGCTAGAGCTGGGCAAATTGGGCCAGGTGTAGAGGTGAAGGGCTACCTTTGCTGGTCCCTTGATTCCCAGAGCAGGGGTGGGATGGGAGTGCGTTGTGCTTGTTGGGATCTTTGGGTTGTGGAAAAGTCTACCTACCTGCTTTTGTGCTTCTTTAAGGTTTCTTTCTCAGGGTATCTTAAATGTGACATTCTTAATTCTCCTTTACTTTTATATTTTTAAAAATTGGGCTTCATTTCTAATCTTGCTTACGGGTAGTGCTGACATTTTATATCCTTGGATCAATGTTTTTTCCTAAACCTGATTAATGATGAGACCTACCTGGGGTGTTTGCTAAATTATAGCACCCAGGCTCTTCCCTCCTGGAGGTTCTGATTCCATATTTCTGGGGTGAGTGCTAGGATTCATATTTTAAACAAATATACAAGGTAATCCCTATGTTTAAGAAATACTGCCTTAGCTATTGTAAAAAAAAATTGAGGCTTACCAATGAAAAGCGACGCTTTTAATGTTCAAATACATTGCATTTTGTTTCTGGACCAGTTTTAGGTTTTAAACTACTATTTTTAGCAGTATATCATTTGTAAAAATGATGATTCGATCCAGAATAACATTAAAAACATCTAAAAAATGTCTAAAACAATCTCAAATATCATCAATCATCAACCTTTTTATATGCTTCATGGAGTCATCTTATACCAGCAGTGGCTCAGACACAATTTACTGCCATTAACCTCTTGAAAGTGTTGCAAAATTCAGATCAGATGCTCTTTTAGGGCAAGTTCAAGTGTCTTCAGTTGGATCATTTACTTGGAATAACCACAAAGCCTGAGTCCTCTGGGATCAGAAAGTAAAATGTTGCTTTCTCTAGAAATCAGCTACTCAGCGGACAAAAGTCCCAGTTAGCGCTGCAGTTGCTCAATCAGGCTGATCTTTTTCGCTGAGCCAGGCCTTGCTTTAGGTTGAGAAAGCCTCCGCCTCTTTGCTATGGTTTTTGTTGTTGTTGTTTTTCCAGAGCCTTGGATAACTTTGAAAGGCTGTGTCCTAAGATTACTGTTAAGATGCTTGTCAATTTTTGAAACTCATTGTGTGAGAAAACTATTTGCATTACCCACTGCTTGCTAATTTGTTCAACTTTGGGGAAAGATACTTAGGAGTTAAGTTTGAATGTGGGAAACTGAAAGCTAAGAGCTCTTTTTGGAGAGGTGATGGCATTCATTGGTGGTTTTTACTGGGCCAATATTGAAATGGATATGATGGCGAGATGTGTATTCCATGCTCCCTTGACTACTGTGTGTGCTGTGATATAGCCAGAGACAACTAAGCAGCCTCTACTTATCACTTGTGTGCTCTAGGCACACAAATATCTACTATCTCTGTTTCAGAAGTAAAACCTTCATGGCTTGTTGACTACAGTTAAGGATCCAGGAGAAATATAACAACATTCAGATGATTGCTCCTAAATGCATTTGTGTTCTGTTAGTTTGGTCATTATTCTTTTACAAAGACTAGCAATTGGGATGTTTTTGGTCATAGGGAGGCCTGAACTTTTGCACAAATACAGTATAAAGGAGGAGGATATGAAAAAGGCAACTGTTTGTATTGCTTGTAATAAATTCTTGTCTCTAGATGTCATACAGCGTAACTCCTTTGTGGTTTGAGATTTAGACATCAAGATACTACTAATCTGATATGACTTTGACTTTCATGACCTTTACCACAAGGAAAAGTCCTTCTGTTCATTTTTCATTCATTCGTTCCAACAAATACTTGCTTACCACGTGCTAGGCACTAGGTTGCAAAGGTGAATGGGATTAATAAATGAAATCTCTTATGTAACCTCTCATCCATTCTTAGGCTGCTGTACATTTCTTTTTCATTTTTTTTAAAGTACGGTTTTTCTTATAAAGGAAATATGTTCTGGTTGTAATTGAAAGGGTAAAACATTGCAGAAATAGATAATAGCTAACATGTATGGAACACTTATTGTGCCAGGCATTGTTAAACGTACTTCCTATATGTTATTTAATTTACTATTCATAACAATCCTATAAAAGAGTGCTATTATTCCCTATTTGCTGAGAGGTTTAAGTCTCTTGGTTAAAATTTCAGAGCTGGGATGTGGAGGAGCCTGGGTTCCACAGCCACTCAAGGGCTGGGTGGATTTGAATGTGCAATTCTATTGACATCACATTACAAATCTTCCATGCTTAGAGCCTGAGAGCCATTAGTGGAGAACCTCAGGCTAAGACAAAGTGCAGTAGGAAGCCAGGTGGACACAGCTTATTGCAGAAGTCATGTCAGCCCTTATCGGCTCCTACTAATAAGCTTTGGATTTGATTAAAATAATATTGTTGCTTACACTAAACATGGCATTTTCTTTCTTTTACACACATGAAACTAGCCCTGACATTTAACTCCAGGATAATTGCCTTTATCAGGCCCAGAGACTCAGAAGTGTTGCCTTGGTTGGCATTTATCTTACTCCAGAGTGACCTGGGTTTGTAATTCTAATGAGAGTGCAAGGACCAGCCTACGCTCTTTTTTCCTTCTGGTGCATACCCTGTGGAATTCGGTGGTCTCTGTAGCAGAACTGGGGTGGCAGCAAGCATCAGATCTGCTCATTTGATCTTAGCATCTCAGCTATAATGAGTTTCAAGGGCAAGTGGAGCTTATTGATAGAACAGGGGCTGGCTCAGTTGGTGGGGCTGATGACAAGAGAGGTGGTATGGCTTAGTGGATCAGTCATTAATCTGTCACCACAGAAACTCAGCTTGTAATGGAGAGTAGCAGAAAATCATTTTGATTAAACAGGTTCAAGGAGACTTAAATGAGTCTGTGATCCTGACTCACTTTAATGAACCCACTATCTTAAATCCCTTGTACCAGATGACCACTGATAGAAATAATTATTTCACAGAGATTGTTATAAAGGGAAAATTTGAAAGTGGATAGGCCCAAGAGCATTCTTGTCTTTTCTGTCCTTACCTTCAGTTTTCCCCTGCCAGAGAAAAGCTAGGTCTTGCCTGGTAGGTGTGGTAGAGCTTTTTGCCCCAGTTGACCTTCTCAGGCTGAATGCCCTGTCTCTCCTGGGTCTCCCCAACCCCACAGGATTTCAGCTGGACTGCATTGCTGGGAGGATAAGTACTTTCCTCTCTGCTGATGAGGCTGTTTTCAAAACCAAGAAGTGGCTCCAAGTGGATAATTGGACCTATAATATTCCCCTAGAGCAATGGGACCTAATCATTACCTCAACTATCTTATCTTACTTGAGACAAAGTAATGTTAGTAATTAAATATTTTATAACACATCATTTCTTATTTATTTACTCAATATA